AACCATCCCAGAGCTCCACTGCATTGCTATTTGTCTCTTGCTGTTTCTTTTTGCCATGCACTGTAATGCTTTGCAGGAAACTGGGGACTCACTCCAGGGGTCCTGATAACATTTAACTCTCCTTTATGAGTAAGGCAAAACTTGAAAGGATCTTAGAGGGTGACCAGGCACTATTGCCCACTTATTCATATAGTGATGTTGCTCAGATGTAATATTTTAGCTAAAACACATCAATGTAGTATCTGGCACTGGAAATTCAACTATTGACCTACCACTTTTTTCTAAATTGTATTGAGGATAATTGTTTAATGCTGTTGCCTTGTGGCAGAAACAATAATATACTCTTAGTGCTCTAATTCCAAGCTATGATTGCTCTCTTGTCTTGAAGAGATTCTTTAGAGAGATTCTGATCATCTAGTAATCCATAGAATGTCACACTGGTCCATTATGATACCATCACAGTAACTAGATCTTAAAAGTTAAATGTAGCAAACAACGTTTGCAGATGCATGCAAATCTCAGGCTGAGAAATAAGTGGTAGAAAAGTCCAGGGAACTGACATATCACAGAGGTGTTCAGGAATAAGTGAAAGGAAGAACAGATGACAAAAGCTTTGGAAAAGAAAACAAAAATGTTCCTGCAAGAAACAAGTGCAGTAGAGTCAGCTTCAGAAGGCCCAGCAAGTCAGTTCATAACAGGCATTCATATGGGAAAAACTCCTACACAACTGTCAAGGTTAATGAGTTTGCACTTAATCTGTTTATGACGGATGAAGCATAGTTTTCTCACATATTACCACATTCACAAAGGCATGGTATATCTACCGATGTCTTCAGTTAGAGAGGTCAAGGTTGAAATTCTTTTTGTTAGAAAATCAGCAACTGACAGAAAATTCTCATTGCTTTACTTATTGTAAAGACTATAACCTAGTTATTCTGGCATACCTCAAGGTACAGAGGCTTTTGTTTTTTTTTTTTCCTGTTTATGAGAAAAACAACCACAGAGAAATGCAGGGGAAGTGCCGTTTGCCCGAAGTACCCCACATCAGGAATTGATGCTTCTATCTCTGCTTTCTTGGCTTCATAGCTTTGGAGATCTGGTGACCATGGGAGAAAGGCTTCCACCAGAGGACACATCATGGTGACACTGACCATCTGTTTGTGGCTCCATATGTCACTGCAACAACATGCAGATAAGGGCATTCATTCTACTGCTCAAGACACTCATTCTAGATTTCAATTGAGTATGGCTAAATTGATGTTTTCCAGTGAAGACCATGTGGCTCATGGGACTTGATTTTCCTGGGTCTGACCACTCATTTTTCACACAGACACAGAAATATTGGATGTTGACAAAGATCAACATCCAGTTATCCCGGCCTGTCTGCCTTGACCACCTGACTTCCTCTGTCCCTGGTGTGTCTGTGCCCATATGCTCTGCTTTGTGGAGTACTTCCATGGATGGCCATGTCTTGCGGTGCCCAGTGGGCCTGGAAGGATGGGCAGGGTGATTGTTCCTGGATCCCCCCCACCTGGATCAGCTCCTTCTGTGCATACTTCCTTGTCCTTCTTCTAAAGCAGTAGCTTCCTTGCTGACGTTTCCTGGCTCCTCTGTCCATGTGCTCCTGCAGGTCTATGGGTGCAGCAGCTGGGCCTGGAGTGCTCCCCCATTCCTTCCTGTTTTCCATCATCTTACTCATGTTTCATAAATGATTATTTCATTAAAACAATATGCACTGGAATTACAATGGTGAACCCCTACCATCTTGTCTAGTGAAACTCTGTATTATCTCTAATGTTTTATCTAATAACTATTTTCTTATTCTCTTTAATGGTTTGAGCAATCTTCCATTCTTACATCTGGTAATCTGAGTAACATAGTTGAGGATAGTGGTATGTAACGTAACAACCATTGTTGATTTGTATTATTTTGTCTTGAGACCCTGTGTCACTTTAAATGTTCTTGCTTTGATTTGTTTCTGTTTGTGATACTAGTATGCTGCTACTGTTCTGTTTTTTGTTTGTTTGTTTCTCATTTATTATTCTCTTTAAAATAAGATAAAAAGACTTTGCTCAGTGTGACATGTGTTTTGAAACCACCACACCAACCTAAAACAGTAGCAAGTACAAGGGACCCACAGGTCAGGTGCAGAACTGAATAAATCAGTAAAGTTTGGTGGTTTCCTCTAAGGACACTGTCAAGGTGCTCAGATATCAGAGAGTCATTGTTCTGAATGAATTTTATTGTTCTAACCCCAGCATGGGCTCCTACTGGCTCCCACATGACTTTCATGGTCAACTGTATGTTTTATTTACCAAATGTACATGATATAATCACTTATAAGCATTTGATTTTTGTAGTAAAAGCCACTAGTACTTTTTAGAAGGCAGATAATATATAGACATCACTCAGTATCCATGGAAAATTGACTCCAGGAGTCTCATGGGTATCAAAATCTATAATGCTCTAGTTCCTAATATAAAATGGCATATTATTTACATATAACCTATACGTACTCTCCCATACACTTTAAATTACCTCTACATGACTTACAGTACCTAATACCATGTAAATACTATAAAAATAGTTGCTATATTGCAGCATTTTGGAAAAAGGACAAGAAATAAAAGTCTGTATCTATGGTGTCCAGATGTATTTTTAAAAAGTATTTTCTATTTGAAGTGGGATACAGAGGGCTGACTGTAACCCTGACTCATGCTGTGCTTCCCATGTCAGGATAAAGAGGATAGAGGTGATCTATTACACCTGCATTATAAAAGGAAGTCAGAAATGCTGGCTAAGGATGTGGTTTTTGTAAAGACTCAGAAACTCAAAAATGAACAATGGAGTTGAAACCTAACAGTGATGCAAACAAGGACAAATTAGACAGCTGGGACAGAATAGACTGGCAGGGACTGCCTTGTATTTCCACCCTTTTGTAGCTTTGAATGAGATGGAACAGAAGCAGCTAGAAATGTATTGAGAAGAAAGTTTAGGCGCCACCAGAGTTAAACCTATAATGCAACTACTTTGTTAAGTCAGAAAGTGAATCTAAGTTAATTACATAAGTTTTGTTTTCAAAATTTTGGTTTGCTATATGGCAAAGAGTTTTGCTATTTAGATATTTAGATTCTTGTCTGATACATAGTAAGTTCTCAGTGAATATTTTCTACCTGGAAGAAAGATGTTTCTATTTAAAATTGTAGATATGATTTCAGGGATTTCTGTGGTAATCTGCATAGCTATGCCACATGTGACCTTGTGAAATATATGTTTGGTCTTCCACTCACCTCCTGGCATAAAACTGCAAACCCCTAGGATATTCAAAGGGAGGGATATTCTCCCTCCCTTTCTCTGTGGAGGGGGCATGTGTGAATAAACTGACTAATTTCAGGTGCCCCCTGGGAGGCCTTGGGATGGGGCTGAAAGACCAAGGTTGCGGGGTGGGACCGACAACTCCACTCCTCAGTGTTCAAGTAACAGGGGATGAAAGCTATGTCGATCACCAACCACCTATGACCTAATCAGTCATTCCTATGTAATGAAGTTTCCATAAAGCCCTCAAAGGACACAGTTTGCAGAGCTTCTGGAAAGTTGGATATAGGGAAGCCGCTAGAAGCAGGGGCACCAGAAGGCTCAGAGGGCCTCACCCTTCTTGTCATGTTTGGCCCTATGCATTTTTCATCTGTATCATCTGTAATATCTTGATGATAAACCAATCAGTGTCCTTCCCTGGGTTCTGGGAGCAGCTCTACAAAACTAACCGAGCTAGGAAGGCTTCTGTGAACCCCGGTTTATGACCTGTCAGTCAGAAGTGTGTCTGCGGCTTGAGACTGGCGTCTGAAGTTGAGGGATACTCTTGGTTAAAAAATCCTCACCCTGTGGGATCTGATCTCTCCAGGGAGACAGTGTCAGATTTCAAAGGAATGCAAGAACACCCCAGTGATGGAACGGCTTTCTTGCTTGGTGGACAGGGAAACCCACATAGGCATCTGGCAGCAGACGTGTGCTCTGGGAGTGTAGTGGGAGAACATGAGTTTGCATCTGGCTGTGTCCTATATCATCCGATCACATTATAAAAGTGGTCAGTGACTGTGGAGAGTAGGTGATTTCTGTGTATTACAGAAAAAGCATTCTGCAAAGTTTTACACGCACTCATGCGCATGTGCAGGACCCTCGCACAGGCATCTCAGGGGCTGCTCATACGTGTCAGGCACAGGAACTGGGGGAGGCAGGGGGATAAGAAAAATGTGGTGCAGCCAGATAACAAAAGGAGGTTTGGATTTCTCCAGCTCTTTAAAAGATCATGCTCAGTTCTGTTTCCTATTTCATTATGTTTTCTGCACAGCTGGGACAGCACAGGCACTGAGCAGTGGTTTAGACAGAAAGCCAGAAAAGGATACATGCATTTTACTAAAGTGTTGTCCTTCGCCTCCACGATCCTACATGGTGACGTAAATTCCTTGTTTTTACACTTCATTGGCGTATTTTACTTTCTTCCTAGAAGTTGTACATGCATGATTTCAGGCAAGGTGTGAGAGCCCCTTTTTGGACTCATGAAGAAGCCCAGCTGAGGCTCTCCTTGAGAGAGAGAAAGAGAGAAAGAGAGAGAGGGAGAGAAAGAGAGGGAGAGAGGGAGGTCTGTACTGTTCCCTGCGAAGTTTGGACACAGCCTGTGTTCTGCCAGTGTGATCACTGATGTTCAGCCACGCTCTGCTGCTTTCTCAGTGGTCACACTCATGCGAAGACATTTGAGGCTATAGGAAGAAAGCAGGCAAGATGAGACATCACTTCTGGTGTAAAATTTAGTCTGTAACGTGGCTGGCAAGGATGTATTTAACTTGCCAAATTCTTTGCAATAGCTCTCAGTAGCCTGGAAAGTGTGGGTCTCTCCGATCCGAGGGCTGCACACTTGTTCTGTGCCCGGATATGCAGTGGAGGTGTCGCCCCTGATCTAACACAAGGCAGTTTAAAGGAAAAGCACCTCTCACTAACAACACTGATGATTTACTCTCTTATTTCTTAGTGTGCACAACTGTGGTAGGAAGTCTCAATTCTTGCTGGCTGCTATTTCTAAGATAATTTCTTAAGGTTATTTAGATTTAGCAGGTTTTGTAGAATACAGTTTGGTACAACATCCTTTGAAGAAACGCATACTTAATTATTATTGTACTTAATAAATGCTCAAGTTCCAAAGTGACAGAGGGCCACAGCCTAAGAATGAGGAACATGCCAACAAAACTGCTGCGACTGTCTCTTCACAAGCAGCAAAGCTCTAGATCCAGACCCCACCATAGATCCTCCTGGAAGGCTCCTCTAACAGGCAGATTATTGACCCTGGCTGTACCAGGGAGAATGTCTGGAACGGAGAAGATCAGCACTTTTATTTTCCCAGTGTTTCCTGGGTGATTCTGTATTTAGCTTCTATTCAACAAAATGAATCCAGAGATTAAATTAAATTTCAGCACCCAAAGGGTCTTACTGATTTTTCATGAGAAGACAGTGATATTCTCTCCCATTAGAAAAGGTGGGGAGGCCAGGAACTCGACATTCCGACAAGAAAATACCTCCTGTGGGGAGGATGAGGAGGCAGATGGCAGGAAGGTGGTGAATGGAGTTGTGAGGCACTGTGCCTTTCTGATGGAGAAGGCTTGGCGTTGGGTTCCGCTGGGTTCCTCTGCAGTAAGCACAATGTCACTCTGAAAATAGCATCATCAGATGAGCTACCTTGAGCAAAGATAAATAAAAAGTAAAAAGTCTGAACTGCTGCCTCAGCACAACTCTTTTCCTGTACATTTATTGGTTTCTATTATCAACTATAAATCAAGTTTGATTTAGAACTGTGTTCTGCTGATATCAGGATTTTTCAGTTATTCCATCAGAATTCCTTAACATGATTCCATTTAAACATGTTAAAAATTCAGAAAGTGTGTTTCTGGGCTCCTACAGCAATTACCCTTGCATCAATTACCTCAGTGTTTACGTGTGTATATAAAAATGTCTCCCTGCTTCAGAAACCCATGGAATTGCCTTTAACTGTCACTACTGAAATGAGTAAATGCAGCAAGTATGTGACTTGAGATTCTCAGTGAAAACCGGGTCCGTCCGACAAGCAAACTGTCAAGTTGTGGGACTGACAGCTTTCATGACTGCAGCTTCCACATTCATCACCAGGCTTGTGCACTTTGAATTGCAACCTTGTCAAAAGATACTCAGAGAAGACGGATTTGTTCTGATCCACCTGAAAGAGGAAGAGAGTTGCCAGCATGCATCACGTTGATAGGAAGCTGGAACAGAACCCAGCCAGCAGCTCCTGCTCTCTGCTCATAATAGCCATACCAGGGAGAGTTTACCCAGCAACTATCGAGCCAGTGCCTTCCAACGATCAAGAGCCAACCTCAGAGAAAAGAGTGGCTCTTTACAAAGAATCAGCTGTATCTTGACACCACCAGAAGTATTCTCACAAGATTTTAAACTACAATTTAGTTTATTTCTTAATCAACACATTCAAAAAAGGAACAGGACTGTCTTGCTACAAAGTCTAAAACAGTGACTTAGCTTCTTGGATTTCTCGCTGACCATATACCATGCTATGCATGCAAAGCGGGAGGGCAGCAAGGGAGACCCCCACCTCAGTGAGAAGGAATTAATATTGACCAAAAGGCATTGGTTGTATATACACTTTGCAGAAGGTGTGGACACCAGGAAGTGAAGCACTAGATGCTCCCAGTTGTTCTTTCTATAATAAGAACAGCTCTTGGCAATACCATCCATGATTGAAAATAGATAATGCAAGACTAAATGAAAGAAGCAACCGCTTTCTTCATAAAGTACAATATTATTCATGAATGGCATATGTCTGACTCAGTCATAATAGCAGGCTACAAAAGTGAAGCTTCAACGTTATGTGAGGCGGTGTTACCTAATGCTTCTTAACATTCAGCTCAGAATGCACAATTAATTAGCGTGAGGAACTAAATGAAGATTGCTTTGTTACCAAAATGTGCTATAAAAACAATGGCAGTGATTATGATGATAATAAATATTAAACATTTATTAGTCATGTACTATGTATAGAAGCCATTCTATGAACTTAACTGGCATGACTTTATCCTCATAACAACTGCAGGTGGTACATATTATCTCCACTTTACAAGTAGCTAAGGCTCACGGACACTAAATACTTTGCCAAATGTACTTTATCCAAGAATGGTAGGAACAAGAATATCAGCAAGATAGAAGCTTAAATGTATGCTAACCTAAATCTCTGCCTTCCAAATGTATAGCAAAATGTAGCACATAAGGCTAGGCACGGTAGCACACACTGCAACCCCAGTTATCTAGGAAGCTGAAGCAGGAGGATTCTGAGTTCAAGGCCAGCCTAGGCTACACTGTGAAATCTCTCAAAAAGTGTTGCATATAAGCATATAGCAAAAATATTGCAAAATACCTGTAGTCTTCCCTGCTGTCCAAAAATATTGCAAAATTCTGCATACAAACTTTCCGTGTGTACTCTAAAACTTGCCTTTAATCAAACTAAAGGCATTTTCCCTTTTGCAAAGCTTGTACCATTTTCTTAGAGCACCTCGCCACACAACCTCGCTCTGTCGCTCCATCTCCCTTCCTACCACACAGCGCTGTACACGCCTGTTGGTAGGAAAAGACTAGCAGAACCCAGAACTCGAGCATTTTTCTGACAAACGTCCCTCCTCCCACATTTAGGTAATGGTTATTATTGCTAATAGAATCTGACATTCTGGCAAATGTCTGCTAACATGATCCCATGGACTCACACCCAGACAGACCAGCATATGTACGCTTCTCCTGTGTCCGCATTTCCCGTGATATTTTCCATGTTTCAGTGAAAAGAACAAGGCTTATGCTTCGTGGAAATGCCCCGTCTGATCCGGATGAAAAGAAAGGCTGGAAGCCTGTGCATCTCCACGATCACTCTGGGTTCCCAGATGAGCCACATGACAGCGAAGTGTGATGAGCATCATCCCAAAGTCAGGGAAAGCAGACCAAGCTGGCCATTCACGTGCAGTTCCCCAGTAGTGAAAGCAGCCTGGACAACAACAGGTTGCGTGCCCAAGGAAGGGAGTAGCAGCCCACACTCTGGAGACTGTCCTCACAGCCTCACTCCAGGGCTACACCTTCCTAGTGAAAAAAGCAATCTATGAGATGTATGACCACCGAGGAGGAACACCCAACCCAGTGTCACTGAAATCCCTCCTCGGCTGGCCAGTCGCCCGCTCAGTCTAGGGAGACTGGTAATAGCATCCAGAAACCCCAAAGAGAGGTGCTGTCCTAACATGGGTGAGGCAGGTGAAAGGCTAGAGAAAACACGTCCTGCTCTCTAGAGAGGCCTCCTGAGACTCAGGCCTAGTGGTGCTGTTCTTTGGTTCTTCAGCACTCTCCCAAGACTGCACAGTAAAGCACTGGTCCTCATTTGGTGCTCTGGGGAGGTGATGAATCCGCTAAGAGGCTGGCCCAGTGGGAGGTCTTCAGGCCACTGATGGTGCCCTCTCCTTTCCTTTGCTTCCTGCCCATGACCTGAGCACTTTTGCTTTACCTCATGCTCCACCACGATGTGCTTCCACAAGGCCAAAACAATGGCATGAGTCAGCCGTGGACTAGAATCGCGAGCCAAAATAAACTGCTCTCTTTACAGATGGCTCTCTCTGGTATTGCTTACTGTAACAGAAAGATGGCCAAAGCGAGGGGCATACAAGGCTGTGTCCAGGAGGAAATGACAGTGGTGAAAAGCCTTGTGAAAGAAATTATTGTGAGAGCAAATGGAAAGGTGTAATGAACATTAATATACAGAGGAAGACGATCTAATTTGTGCAATAATTGCAGAACCTTTGCAGAAGTGATAGAGTCTTGAGAAAAGCATTTTGGAGGATCGTTGCTTCGCTCTGGGTTAAAGGCATGGGGTTTAAGCTCAAGAAGGTAATAGTGTTGATGGAACATGCAATTGACTTAATACAAAGGGCTAAGGTTAACTCATGGGTAGATGTGATAACCGACAGGGAGATTTTGGGAAGAAATACAGGAAGAAGTGTGTAGGGACTGAGGAGAGAGAGGATAAAATTATGACTTCAGTTGAGGACATGATGACCTTAAAAGCATTTGTAACATGCTGAGGGGACCCTGAGCACTGTCAGGTTCACGAAGGACAGAATTGGAGAAAGAATATGCGAAAGGATTTGCAATCGTTTACAGGTGAAGTAAAGAGGGAAGAACCTGTTGGACTAAATAGATGTCATCTCACAGAGATGAGATCCAGGAGCTGAGGCTGAGGGACAACAGCACAGGTGTGGAACCCAGAAAGGTGAGGCAGAAGAAAGAGGTTGGTTCGGAAATAATGGCCTGAGCTCTTGGAAGAAGCCCAACAGAGTGTCATCAAAACAGGGGAAGCTCAGACACACTTGGACATCTGGAGCTGCCGAAAATGGGTGACCTTTTCAAATGCATTAGTCAGGAGGCTCTGGCACATCCAGACAGACTCAGACTCAAGATTTGCTTAGGTGTTGAAGCCCTAGTGGGTAGCAATACTTGAATGGCCATGGTGATGAATTGCTGGGGGTTGAGGATTCATTAAAAAAACAAAAAACCTTCATCAGTAAAAGAATTAGAGGTATAAGTTCAGGAGGAGAAACAAAACCACTGTATTGGAAGGGGAAGAGAAATAGGGAACAAAATCACTTCAGTGGAAAGGGAAGGCCAGGGATATAGCTCAGTGATGCAGCACCTGCCTGGCAAGTGCAAGGTCCTGAGTTTGACTCCCAATACCAAAAAAAAAAAAAAAAAAAGTCCACTACTGGAAAAGGGAGAAAAATAATAAGATGGTATGATAGGGAGCCCTTACTAGGGTAGGGTTTCTAGAACCAGAAACTGGGAGGTCTTTGTTCTCAGTCCTTTTAATTACCTGGAAAGAAAGGGACTCTCCTCTTTGAAAGTTATTATCCCTTATGGGAAAAGAGAAGGCAAAGAAGGAGAAAGTTTGTATGTATGTATATGCAGGATAGTTAACATGGCTGTTCTACTGTCTTGTATTTCTTTGCTGAAAGAAACTGTCAATGAGTCCTTGGTTGATCAGCTTTGTATGTCTATATCTGTTTTCATGAGAAACCACTTTGAAGATATCAATATGTAATACAACAAGCATTGTTAATTCCCTACCACTCTGTTTGTAACTCTGTACTGTCTATACTGTTCCTTTGCTATTTTGTAAAACGTCGACTGTCTGTTAATATTTTCCTCCTTTTATTTTTAAAATAAAGAAAAAGAAAGTTATTATCCTTGATTGGCTATTTTGGGCTCTGAGACCCCTGATTTGACCACTGTCTTTTCCGTTGCCCACCTGTACAATCTTGGGTTAGCACTTCTGGGGTCTCTTTGTGCTGTCCAGGAGCTCATCTTGTGAGATTTACAGCAGAGCCCCACATTCAAGGACAAGGTAGCAAAAAGAAACATTCATACATTTTGGTGTATTAATATGGTGAGAGAATGATAAAATATGTGTACACACGTGTGTGTGTGTGTGTGTGTGTGTGTGTATGTAGATGTCCATGCATACTTTATATACTAAGTGAGTTTCTATAATAGAGTCCCCTCCCAACTTTCTTTCTGTGTTTAATTGGGGGTGCAGGGAGGAGGGAATGGAGCCCTGGCAAGTTGTGAACCTGACCTTTCAGCTCTCTCTGTTTTTCTTAGCTACTTTC